TTTTAAAAACACAAAGTGAAATAACACTTATAATGAAATAAAACTTTAACAAATATTTACTTAACAAATACGAAAGACATATTAAATACTTACATATTTTTATTTTGAAAATAAGTCAAATACTTCAAAACTAAATAGGTTATGAATTCATAATATCTGCTTATTTTAGGTTCTTAACAGTCGCAGTCTTAATTATGTCAGAGTTTCGGCTTTATTTATGACTTTTTTCTCTAAAAATCTAGCCATGTTTTAGGATGATTTTTGGTCACTTTTTTTACTCAAAAATTAATCTCATAATAAAAAAAAAACTGAACTTCAAAACTTAAGAAAAAGCTTGTTTTTTTTAACGTTTTATAACTTCATTTTGATAGTGAACCTTCTTTCTCTTTTCTTCCTCTTTCTCTGCTCTCATAAATTTAGTATAATTTTTCCAATGTTTTTATTTAAAACCTCAAAATATTCTAAAAAATTACACACTTCGTACTTTCTCTTCTTTTTTCACTTTTATGCTTTTTACTATTTTTCTCTCATCCGGATGTCTCTTCCTCTCTTCTCTTATCCCCTATTTATAGGAGTGGGGAGCCATGAGAGAAAGGTTTTCACCATTATATCATACAATTTCATCTAAAAGTTGTCAACTTTTCGTCATGTCACTTAATCTAAAAGGTTATCACTTTTCAAATGCTGATTTATCTCAAAGATCTTTTCATATGTCATTTCATCTAAAATTTTCATATTTTTTCATGTCAGTTCATGTTTATTCTATCTCAATCATCTTTATCTATCATTTTTTCGTTTAACTTTAAACTATGCACTTATTCTTATTATATATTTCCAAACACATATAAAAATTAAATTAAATATATTAAATATAAGAAATTAATTTGAAAATATTTTCAAGCTATCACATCAATTCTTGTTTTGTGATATACATGTTATTGACTCTATTTCTTATTTCTTTTCGAAAATATATATATTTTGTTGTGACTCTTTTACTGAGCATCATTTTGGTTTTTTTTTTTAAGAAAATCAAACATGTTATTTATTTCAAACCTTTACAACGCAAAAAAAAAAATTTAAATCTTTTTTCCGATTGTTTCTCAACATTGTGTCAGTACACTTAATTCTCAATTGAAGGAATTTATTTGGACAATATAGTTTTTAAGAGAGAATTTATGTTTATAATGTAAATTATAATAATATTTTTAGTTTAGTTTATTTTATAGAGATTTATAAATATTATGTTTTATAAATTATCTAACAACGTATAAATTAATACAGTTTTTTTTGTCATAATTCAAAAAATATATATTTAAAAGTAAAAAATAAATTACATTATAATTAAAACAAATTAAATAGGGTAAGTTATACTTTTAATTAAAAAATTGTTGACAACTGAAAAAAAAAGAGAGTAATAAATCGCGGCCCTTTCTTTACCAAACTACATTATTATAATCTTAACATCGTTTAGGAACTCTAAAAGAACTTTGTTTAGGGAGAAATAGATGGAATTAAATGAAATAACCAAAGAAAAATGTTTTTTATATTCTCTCTTTTTTTTGCTAAGTATATTTTCTGTACTGTCTATATATGTGTAGCTTAGCACATTATCTGTATTTATTATATAAAAAAATTTAAAATTTACTATTATTTTAAATAATTAATTAAACCTATTATTCAAATATTTTAAATTTAAATTTATAAATAATCTAAGATTAAACAACTAATGATCAATAGTGTGAAGAACTTAAACTAATTTAGCGTAGATCAAATTATCACGTTGAGTTAACTAATTTTTTTTTTTTAATAAATATTTTATATTTGTATTTAAACTGGACATGCCTTGAAATTTACGAGTGGTTTTGTTTTTTATATTAGTATTAAATAATTTTAATTATACAATTAAATTTTGTAATTACTACAGTTATACCTACAAGTGTGACAATGAGTAGATTGGTTGGTTAGCATCAATTTTTTTTATGTTTGTACTTTAAATTGGATATGCCCATAACAATTGAGACCAACCGACCAATCAACTACTTTTGACACTTATAGGTATGATTAGAGTAACTAGAGAAATTAATTATATGATTAATTAATAATTATTTAATACTAATAATAAACAAAAATACTCCCAGTAAATTGCTTTGATGAATTTGGGGCCACTTGGAAGGGGGTTAGGTATTTTTACTATTGCCAGGACGCTAATAGTTAAAGACCCGTGAGCTGGTGACCCCGTGAGTTCTTCTTTCATTGACTTTTGTCTCCTTCTCTCTGGCGTCTTTAACTTAACCTCCCTCTAAACCCTTTTTAGCTTCACATGCACATTTACGCCCACAACCAGACAAATCAACTCCTACCCTTTTTAAAATCTCTTTAGATTCTTTTGCCCCTCGCATCTTACACAAAATCCTCCCTTCCCCCATACTTTCATTTAATTTTTTTTTTCCTTAATGATTTTTTAATTTATAAAAAAACATGTATTAATTAAATTCATTTTTTTGATAAGGAATTAAATACAGAAATAATGAATTTAAAACACTTAAATTATTGATTTATAATTTTTAATTAATGTCAAAAGAACATTTTAGAGGTACCAAAATTGACACAAATTTTTTTTCTAAATTATTAATACATTATGGGAAAAAAAAAAAAAAAAAAAAGTATTGGACGGAAACATGTTTGGTGAGTGTTTCACTTGGAGGACAACGAGTACATGGATGACATTAATAAGACATTCAAGTACTCGAAAAACAAAAAGATATAAATAAATTTATTAAAGTTATTTTATTTTTATTTCTAGAACCAATATTTAGTGAGTAAAAATTATCATTTAAATAAAAATTATATTTTCTCAAAAATTTTAATTTTCAATATAAATAATTCTAATAATTTATATATATGTAAATTGTTCTTTTGAATTGAACTGATAAGGGACATAATTTTTAATTTTTTTTAATCAAGTTCCAAAGGTTTTATTAAAGAAATTAATATATAGTTTTTATTTACTGAAATATAACTTTAAACATATTTATTTCTATGTTTGAGCTAATTTTGTTAAAGACGGTGAATGTACTAAATAGATTTAAATGAAAAAAGAAAAAAAAAAAGAACAATAAAGAGAGACAATAGAAGGGTGTTTTCGGGATAACAAAGGCGAAGATTTGTCGTTATCGTTAAATGTCGTAGTCAGGAGCTTTTCTGGCAAATCGCGCCAGACTGAAACCCTCTTCTCCGATGTACTAACGTTCACTTTCCTAGCCCTCTCCCTCTCTTACTCTTGCGCTATATACATTTGTTTAACTATAGATGTGCATGAGCAATTTCTACTTCATCTCTCTGCAACAACTACAATGGCTGCTAATTCTTGCGAAGAGGTGAGATTCTCTCTCTTCTCCCTCTCTCCCTCTCCTAATTTTTGCCTTGGTTTTTACTTAAAATCTGTAAGTCCTTTTTCTTATGCGAAATGGGGCTACGTCCGCAATGGAGGTCTTATTTTAGCGTGATGTGAAGTTCAGCTCTCTGATTATGCTATTTCTTGGAGTTCTTCAATAGAATTGGTTTGCCTAGTAGCTCTGTTGACCTCATTGGCTACAATTTGAAATTCTACTTTGTTTTTCCTCTTTTCCCCTTCTACACGGGTCTTCTAAGATTTAATGACTCTGGATTTAGAATTTTGCTAATGTCTGTGGCTTTCTCTTGGCTGACGAGAAAATGCGGGAGTAGGGAGTAGGGAGGAGCTTGGGCTTGAAAAACTTCAGAACTTCCTTTGTCTCTCGCCGAGACAAACTGGAATCTCTGTTCATTTGAGTTTTCGGTACTCGCTTCAATTTCCTTTTTCCTTTCCGAACTAAAATAAAAATTACATTCAGATTCTTGATTTGGAAGCATCGTGAGCGGCTAGTGAGATATTCTTTCTGCAAAAACTGAAGAGATGTGCTTTATATTTTATCCGTCCAAGATTTTAATTCGTCATTGAAGTATAACTGCAGATGGACAGAAAAATATTTGCGAAATTAATAAAGAGTTGATCGACCTAAAATTAGTTTTTGGTCAGGTTAGCTTTAGGAAGATCAGCATCCGTACTTGCTTTTGCATCTTCTTTATAAGGAACTTCTTATGTTTCCTCTTTTAGCTCTTAAAAGTTTGAAAAACAGCTTTGAAAGAAATTAAGCCATTACGGATGCCATTAATTTTTTATTCAAGCACTCTAGAAAAAACGTCCATTACACGTATGTACTGGTAAGTTAGTGATATCCATCGTAGGTTGCTCACCCTTATCATAGCTTATCATGTTAGCATTTACCGCAGAGTCAATAGACAATTACTAGATGTTTTTGTGGAATATTTTTTATGATACTATTTACAATTTATAATGGAATAAACCAGTGCTAAGTACAGATATTCATATATCACTAATGATACTTACGGTTCTGTTACTTTAGGTCACCATTTATTTTGGATGTCTGAATTCTATATTCCAAAGGTAGTTTACCAAGGGGCTTTGGCATCATTTACAATTCATAATGGAAACAAACAAGGGTTAGCTTAGCTGCACATATGCATATATCATTAATGAAGCTTCTAGTTCTGTTACTTTTAGATTACAATTTTTTCGTGTGTGTGAATTCTATGTTCCGAGGATATTTATCAAGGGGTTTTGGCATCATTAAATCATAACATAAAATCTTATATTCAGGCAAGACCACGTTTCACTGGTATTGTGGATGGAAATGGCAATATGCCTCTTAACTGTTCATGCTTTCAGTTAATGGAGACGAGTTATGATCAAGGAGATCAGCATTGCTCTCTAGGTATGAAATATACTTTATGTAATGCCAGTTACATGATTCAATGTTCTTACTTCTGTAAGGGTTTTCAATTAATTGTCTTCATGTTCAATTTTAGATGTTTTCCCCATTCTAATTGAGGAGGCTTCATTTCCAGCGAGAGAGAAATGCCCGCTAAATAGCTCAAATGTAATTTCATCTATTTATTTTTTAATGCTTTGATCTATTGCTTTCCTTGATATGAAAATTATTGAATGGTTCTTGGTCTGGATGCAAGATACTTTTATTTGTATTCCATCTAGATTTAACTTCATTTTTACGTTTGGCTGCTATGGTGTAATGACAGCATTCTCATGCCCTTTAAGCAAGTTCATATTTGTTTTTTGCAAGCTACTTTTTAAATCACATTGAAATTGCCAAAAAAAATGCTTAAAGAAAAGTTTTGTGCATTGATCTGTTACTTGCTCAACAACTTGTCATTTTCTTCGGATGACATTAGCTGTTGCTGCTTGGCCAAGGATTGTCTTGGAAATCTTTCCTTTTTTATGTCCCTTAAAAAAGTTTTTCATATACTCGTATCAGGCAAACTACCCCAAAAAGTTGCTGGTTCAAGTTGGTTTAACTGTTTTTTTCTCTTTCTTCCAAACAACTATAAGATAAGCTACTCTATTGCCGGTAGAACTACTCTTCTCTTACTTCTTTTTCTTTGTGCAGAGTCAAGATGTGTATAGCATTTCTGTGTTGCGTGACGAAGACAATACCAGTCAGCAGTGTGCATCACAGCTAGCTTTTTTAAGCCTCTTAGAAGTTCCCTTTCCATCTAAGTCTAATATATGCCTGGATGCCCAATTGAATTGCCATAACTGCTTTGATTTGCAAATGGAAGGAGCAGATGCTTTTCCACCATGCATTGTGAATATAAACATGGAGAAGGAAAATTCAGAAGCAATTAAGTCCACTGATGAAGCTGTTGGAAGTATAAAAACCGAGGGTGTAGTAACTGTGAGTTCAATTTTTCATAGTCATTACATGACATTCTTTTCTCTAGTCTCATACATTTCTTATCACATGCATAATATCTTACTCAAGTTACTGCTGATATGCTTAAACTGTTGGTTATCTTTGTTCTATAATGCATGTGGATTTATCTGTCCTAAATATAGGTAAATAGGGGTTGCTTACTCCATTATGTGAAAGGGCCCGAGTTTTTGGTGGAATTGGGGGTGTGGGGGATAAAAAGCCTTGCAGTATAGTTAATTTTTGTAGGCTTTTTACCTTGTAGCCTCTCTCTCTCTCTATATATATATATATATCTGTATATATATATTTTTTATGATTTTCTCAGGATTAGATATTGCTATGATCTGGCTCTATCGGAGTTAAGATTTGAGCGTGAGAAAATCATGTAGTCTCTAAATTTTTTTATATGAATCCAGATCCATCCCCCCCAATAGAGTAGGTCATGCTGACAGAAGTGCAAATTTCTTGTGTCACTTTATTTTCCGCATTGTTTGCTCGTTACTGTTTCTGTTAATTATAGGTCTTTGATGTTTGGGTACAATTACAATTTGATTCATTATTTTTCAAAAGTATGATATGGTCATTTCATAAATTAAAATACCTTTTTAATTACTTATTGTCAATAATATGTTTGTAATCTTATTTCCAAAAAAAAAAAATTGTAATCCAATTTCTCTTTATTGTTCTATAAGCTGAAATCACTGTCTTTTTATGCATTTTCTCATGCAGAATCACTTGTTATGTTCTTTTTATTTTTTCACAGTTTCGTGATTGACGAGTAAAGACGTATTTAACTATCATTTAATATCTATTGAGAAATTGTACTAAAACAGATATATTTGTTGCAGGGCTTAGGTTGTTAGTTTCTGAAATTAATGGATCCAGTTGTAATTGTACCCAAACCTTGATGAAATATGTTATTTTATCCTTAAAAGAAGATATTGCATAACCTGCTTCTAATCTCATTATTCTGTGGCTTCAGCATATGCAAAAGGTGTTGCAGAGACAAGCAAGCTTGAATGTAGGTAAGGCATGTAAATTTTGGTTAAACATTTCCTAGTGTTAATAAAAGTCTGTTCTCGAGCTCTGTTAGCATATTTTACTATGTGTATTGCTGTTGCTTCTTGGTGAACTTCATAATCACTGTCTCATGATCTCTGGACTTATCTCGTATAAATGAGCAGGATAGTAACTGCATCATCCTTTGGATGTATATTATATGTGCCTTTTACTTTTTTCCTCATCCTTCTAAGAAACAACAATAACATGTTCTGCTTGCAAGGAGGCCATTCAGAGTAATTAGATTGCAATATATTTTCACAATGGGATGTCTCTTTGACTCATGATCCAAGCATGCTCGTTCAAGAAATTGAAAGAAAAATATTGGGCCCATGTGTATGTGTGTGCTAAGCCATCTGAACTTTTTTCTCCAATGGTACTGATATGAGCCCTTAATCTAGAATACCAATCCTTTGGAATCACATGCAAAATCCCTGGTAAACCGCAAATTCCCATAGATTCTACTACATTCCGAAATTGCATGTACAAATGGGCATATAGGTACACAAAATTGCTAAGCTCATAATCTATCTTATGTTGAACCTTGAATGATCCAAAGACAGCAACCCATGTTTGATCCTAGCATGAGAGACTTTTCTAAGATAGGTTGTTATAAAGAATTAGAGGGTAAATTTTGAAGAATAATTGGGCTCCAAGAAATAGTGAGGAAGATTTTCAGCTTTAAGAAGTGTAACCAAAGATATGACTTTAGACCATGTGAATTAGTAGAAAAATTTTATGATGCTACAGCTACTGTTTAAGTCAAGTTTAACTTCCATGCTATATGTTATATCTCATCCCAACTTCTCTTTATATGTTTAAGAAAATGCAAAATGCTGAAAGCATATTTTTGCTTTTCCTCCTGCAAGTTCCCTTTGTTATAAAGATATACATTTGGCATTCTTCGTGTTTGTCTCACTATCTATCATGCACTTATCCTATTTCTAATAAACCAGGCATGTACTTGAACTTTGGGTTCTTTCTAACAGATAAATCATTCACTGAGCGGGTTCATGATGCACCAACCAACAGATGGCGAAGATACAAGCGTGCTGCCTCATTTGATTCAAGGAAAATAGTCCTTCTATTCTCCATCTTGTAAGCTCTCAGTTTAGAAGCAAATTGAACAAAGACATGATTTCATTCATATGGTCCTGCATTTAGCTTTGAAACCCGGATATTATTCTCAGTACCTATTAATGTCTTATAACCATTCTGAAATCTAAATAGTAGTCTCAAATCAAAAGTCAGGAATCAGGATTGTGCTTCCTATCTCCTTAGCTTTGATTGCAAGTATTTGACCATGCATATTCCTGAAAAAAAAAACTGTCTTCACGTAAGGTATATTTTTCACTGAATGTATATAGTGAGTACTCCAAGGATAGAACCTTTGCCTTAACATTAAGTCTGTGATGTGGATATACCACATATCATCCAGCTAAACCTGATATAGGATCATACTAAAATCTATAGATGTGGATCTTCACTTAACTACTAGACTAGTTCTGACGGATAGAATTACAACACAATTTTCATGTTTCAGTTATTTTTGCACACCTTGAATTCTTAAGGGGGGATAGATCCATTATGATCCTGATTCCTCAAATAGGATCTTCTCATGGGTTGCTGTCTAGAAAAATCCAGTAAACTTTTCATTTTTTGAACAGTTATCAGAGTTTTTCCAGTGATCAGTTGTTAGAGTTTTATCAAACCCAAAATAAATTATTGCTTTGTTGGAGTATTTTCTGTAGAAGGCTACTCAATGTAGAGGGAGGGTACCATCTCTATATAGGGAAGAAGATTCTTTTAATTCTAAACAATATAGATTAGTATGGCAATAATAAGTTTAGCATGAAACTCATAATTTCTTTATCGGACAAATCTTTTTACCTCTATTCAGAATCTCTAGTTATCCCTGAACTTATATAGGTAAAAGTACAACTAATCATGGGGAATAGGTTACTCCCTTTGAATATAGAATGAAACTCATAATTTCTTTTTTAGGTAAAGGATTGTCCCAACCCCACGACTATAAGAAAAACAAAACTGAAAGATAACTGACAAAAACTAAAATGAAGATAGGAAATTATTCTGCAGTTTTCGTCCCTGAACCAAATTAGTTTTCTCCCTTTCCAAATCGGCCATTTTTTTCCACTAGTACATTAAATCAGTAAAATTGCCTATAACATCACTCTTTCCCCTAAAATCATGATTGTCCTTGAGCATAAAGAAGGGCATTCAATGGTCGACTGAGGTAAATGTTCTCACGAAGCAAACTCAAACGAAGTAACTGTCACCCATAACTTCAGTAATTGCAAGAATGACGCAGATTATTGTTTGAAAAGGACTCAAGTCACCTATAAATTTAGGCTTTGGTAAAAATATTTTATGGTTCTTAGACTAGGATCTGGTTTTGGCTTTATTAACTGGAAAATTTTAGTGAGCTTTCAGAGTGTTGTTTGGAATTTTTTTAATTCTTCCTTTATTATCTATTGACATTAATAAAAAGACAAGGACTCATTAAGAAAGAACCTTTCGGTCTCCAAGAAGGCTCATTAAGAGAGAATCTTCCATCCTTGAGTTTGTTAGGAATTCTTACTTTTTTTTTGAACTACTTTGCTGTTTCATTCTCTTAATGTAATTGAATCATGTATCCCTTCGTGAACTCATCATATGTCTTTCTCTGGTATACTACACCAGTAAAATCACAGAATATTTCTAATTCTCGTCTGAGTAGAAACTGAAAGCCTACCCTGAGTTATCCAAGGAAAAATATAAGTGGTTCAAACATGAAAATCATTAAGCAATTCTTTGTAGAAATATTTGTCTAATAATAATTAAGCGAAGAAAGAGGTAGGAATTGAATGCAAAGTGAATCAAACAAAAGGTAGAAAAGTATTTTCTTTCTGTAGCATGACATCTGCATATTTAGTAAAAATCTCTGGGAATTTTAGAGGGCTGCTGTGTTCAAATTTTGCATATTCTTTGTGATTCTCTTATTCCTTGATGGGTGCATACTACATGGTAGATGGCAAAAATGCCATTAGCTGGATAAAGATAATCCTAGAATTTATTGAGGAAGAACAAATGTTGTTGCCAAGTGGAAATTAGCCGAAATTTTTCACTTTTATGAAATTTATTGTTTGAGGTCTATTACAGTTTCAATCCCTTGGATTGACATTATTGCAATTCGAATATTCTTTTTTCTTGTGACAGTCTACTGCTTGTGTTTTGGTTTTGTCACCCTAAAGAAATAAAATTATTAGTTTTTTTTAAAGACATAATCTTATTACTTGTTAGTTTTTGCTTCTTAAATCTTTATTTGTTTAATCTTAAACATCCATGTATTTGTGTTTTGAAGTTCAAATTGATGCCTGATATTATTTAAAAATTATAAACTTATGTGAAAAGATAACAATAAATCAAATAGTAAGGTAGTGAACCGTATATATATATAGAGAGAGAGAATTTGATTAGTATTAAGATCAAATCAGAAATGAAGTTGTAATTTATTCCTTTTCCTAGAGTGAGTTAACTCAGCAACGTATCATAACTATTGTGAAATTTCTATCTGTTGCAAAACACAGATTGATTTTTTGCCTTATTTTTTGGTTACAGATCGAGTTTGGGGACATTGATATTGATTTATCTGACGCTGAGAGTGAGACAAAATGGCGATGGTTTCAATCACGTCTGATGGATTTAGCTTTTATCCTTACAGCCTCTTTTGATTCCTGCTTGGATTTTGATTGTTGTTGAAGTTTGGTCCCTGGAACTGTTGTGATTGGAGTTCCCTTTCTCCTAGTTTTCAATTTTTTTAGTGTTAATAGTTCGCCTATCTCTGTGCATAACCAATGCTTTCATTCAAGTCATGTACTCACTTTCTCCCTTTCTCTCTACTTAATTTTAGGTGTGAATGGGTTAATTTTCCTTTATTGATTTTTATCCTCCTCTTTTCAGAAATTCATAGAAGTTGAGGAAAATAAATCCAGTACAAAAAGCTATTTTATTTTAAATGTTTAAAATATAATAGTTAAATGAAGAATACAAGATAAAATTTAAATAGAAACTGTATCAAGGACCAAACGTCTTTTCTTACATTTTTCTACTTATACAACATTGATGCACTAAATCATTTCATGATGAAAAACAAGGTGAGTTATTGTGTAACAGATACACTTTTGTATAATGTTGTATTTCTATTTCTATCAACAATTTGATATGGTTTTAAGTTTATTAATGAAATTCAGAGAAGGAAGCTTTTCTGAAGTAACTAGTAAAAATTCACATATGGTATTTGTATTTGTACGCATAATATATATAATTATTTTTTAAATATTTATATTGAGCTATGCAAACTTTTTAGCAAACTTATTATTCTATTGCAGTTCATTGTCCTAACTTGTAAGGTAAATGCAGTATTAATAGGAAAAGATAACTCTCAACCTTAAGAAATAAAAATGTTAAATCGAATTTTTAACTCAGTTATGATTATCTCAACTATGAGAACATAACAAGTATAGATTCTTTTACTCAAAAACATAATAGATTTGTTAAAATTTAATTCAACTTACTCACTAAAATTCTACTAACATATTAAACACTTGATTCTACTAAATCAAACATTACTATCGTCAGCTTATAATACTGACAAACCAATAAACTCTATATCCTCAATAAAACTGAAATTTGTATACTTTAAATAAAATACAAAAATTTTAACTAATAAACTATTGTTAATTCCTACTTCTCAACTTATCAAAATCGTTTAATAAATAGCACATCTCATTTTTTTAGAAGAATTATGTAAAGGTGCTTCTTGGCAGGCAACACAACATCCTCTAACTTTCTAATGTTTTCGATAACGTAGTTATAGAACTAAAAAATCTTGTATTCTATCAACTTTATAGCACGTATAAATTAGTTTTCCCTATTAAAATAAGTGTCTTAAAGTCAGCGTGTTTACTAGAAGCGGAGATGGGGGGAGGAGACCAATTGGCAAAACCCGTTTCCCAGACAGAATAATGGATGGTGGTCCTTGAAGAAATATCTTAATATGTATCAGAAAAAGAAACAAGTATAAGAATCACTAATACTGTAATACATAAGTTAACAGAATACCAAAAGGTCTATATTTTAGTATCTTGGAGAAGATGGGCCACTTACTGCTCCCCTAAAATATTCAAAAACTGGATGGCATACTGAACAAATAGCATTTTTATCTGCCAACAATTTCTTGCTACGAGATGTAACTTTTTCTTTTCCTTGCAATCATATGATTGAACGTATCAATTACCTGCCCCATTGTGTAGTCCAGAGTATTTGATTCTTATCTACCCTGTTGGTTAAGTACATTTTGTTAACATGCACAACCCCCTCCTTGTTGCTCTGACTGGGATGAATTGACAGTTGGCTTCAGGTTGACATCGACCATGTCTTCCTGTTTTGTTGAGGAAAGTGTCTCCATGCCCGGCAAGGCAGCAGCGATCTTACGGAATAAAGGCTGCAATTTGACATAAAAATATGAGTCAGAATGTGTTACAAAGAAGAATTTCATCTGGATGTGCAAACACTATGAGCTCATTCTACCCAGAAAAAGAACAAAGGAAAAACTAACATTATGTTCATTGCGGTTTGGCCTTTTATCATAATCAAAACCTTGTGATTTTTTTTTGTTTGTGACAATTCAGCTCATATGGTTCGGTTTTGTTATTTTCCATAAAAATTTAGTTTTTTAAGCTCTCATCTTAGATATTTCTACTTTTTGCTCCCTAATTTAATCTCTTTAGCTTTCAACCACCATTTTATTAGTCTAAAAATATGCATATGTTCCTTTAGAAATTAAGAATTTTATGTGAAGTTATAAAAATTAAACCACATTCACTGAATTGTCATAGAAAAATACAAGGTTTAGATTATAAGGCATAAAGCAGTTCTCTGCCCAAAAAATAAGTTGTTTAATATATAGCTTGATTATTTACCTTGATGTTGAATCCTGCTTTCGCACTGGTCTCTATAAACATTACTCCAAACTCACGGGCCTTGTTATCTCCTTCCTCTATCGATACTTGCCTATTTAATTACCAAACCAACATAATCAAACATCAATGCTAGTGAATTTCAACTAAATAAAAAGGTAATAAATTAGTATAATTTTCCACTCCTACCCAATGCTTCTTTGAAAAATACAGGACAAAAACATCCAACTAATCAAGCAGTTTTTGTTTCATGCCATATATAAATTTTTTCACTTCACACCACCCAAACCAAGAAAATTAGAAACTATATGGATGAAATTGTTCCTCTCAGTAGAGCACTTTGTAGTCTAAATAGAAACCTAAAAGAAGCTCAGGTCAAATGAAATAACATGAATATCAATTCAAAAGTATTATCGATTAGTTTATATCTTACCTTTTATCAACAAGATCAGTTTTGTTGCCAACAAGAACAATAATGACATCACTGCCTCTTTCTGTCCGTACCTCCTCAATCCACTTGGAAGTATTCAAAAATGATTGCCTATCTGCAATTGCGGCAATTAGATGACATTGCTTACAAGTATATGAATTCACATTGTTGTTGTTGGACTAGTCAAGTACACAACCTATTAACGTACATAAAAAAAACACATGCATGAACATCTGTTTTTGCTTTTTACATTTTTTGGGCAAACATGTGTTTTTGTATCTGCTACAATTTTTAACCAATCTTACACCATTGCAATTTAGCCAAATATTCCTTTTTGTCATTCTGGTGATTATTGATTACTTGATTCAAATTCAGAAAGAATGACCATTTCATAGAAGAAGTGACATATAATCTGGAAGAAAGGCTGACAAATACTCACTAGCAACGTCATAAACAATTACTGCAACAGAAGAATCCCTGATGTAGCTTGGAATAAGACTTCTAAATCTCTCTTGCCCAGCAGTATCCCTGGGAAGTCACAAAAGGAAAGAAGGTAGACATAATGAAAACCAAGATAATTTGATAGAGCAATAAGCATGTATTCTAATACTAAACTAACAGACATCTCTTCATCAGAAACTACATAAGCACTGAACTCTCTAACCGGCATAATAGTAGCAATATGGATAGTTCTAAATAGCAAAGTTTTATAATTTGAAATTTTGGATTAAAATTTTATGTGAGTAGTTAAGAATCTACTCTCTAAAAACAAAATTAAAAAGTCCACCACTATGTAAGTTACATGTAAACATGCACAACCTTGCAACAAACTCAAATTTAGCTCACAAGCCATAGGCATAAGGTTGTCACCAACCTTCTAACAACCAGTATAGACTTTTCAATATCGTCAAATCATTCCCTCTTCATTGTCTTTAACTATCATAAACAGCACTATCTCATGCATACAAATTTAATGAATAGCAAAACAATAACAATATGCTCCCTGTTTCTGCTTTACCACTGAAGTTTGGGAAAAAGAAAAGGGATACATTTAGTTATATATGAAAAACACACTTTCAACCAATGGCCTACAATATGCTCATTATATCAAACATTAAAACAGAAAATCCTCAAGGAAAAAGCTTCATAGCACAAGAGAGAAAAACAAAGAACTGGAAGACCATATATCTTACCAAAGCTGCAAACGAACTGTCCGATCCTCAAGATACATAGTTTTTGACAAAAAATCGATTCCAATTGTAGCCTGCAATTTTTAGTACCAAAATTAATAAGAAAAATTGTATGTAATATGCTTAAAAGTATAGAACGAATCAAGTACGCTAAATCAACTCTTGTGCAAAAGAAATTAATAGACCATGGCAAAGTGACTGGTAGAAAGTAATTGATGCAGTTACTTCAAATCATGCAAACTGAATAAATAAAAATCTTAAAACTCATCGAAAGGTGACACATACTCCTCTCTACTTTCCAGATTTCAGGTACAACGAAATCACCTCCTGAACTTTCTCCTAATTGTAATATTGGGCTAGTAAAATGGGTCTAAAGTAATTCGAATACGCAAGGGACAGCTAAGCCAGAAATTGACCAGGCAAAAGAAATCTGTAGCTTCTTGCTTTAGGCTTCCTATTATCAACCTCATATTCACGTCCCTCCATTCTGGTTACTAGAAATGAGGTTCGGTAGAATCTCAATTCGATTAACAAAATCAATTGGAAGTACAACCAAATATCAAGATCCACGACAGAGATCAACCATAATTTACGATTACACGCCATCACATTCTATCATGCAGAGAATTATTTCAGCTACCGAAATTCCTCAATTATTCAAGCTAATAAATCGCGTTCAACCTCCTAATTAAAACATCAAAAGGATCAGAGATCAACGAACGCTACAAGGCCATGAAATCTAAAAACCAAGAAGTCAACAATCTCACAAAATGATGTTAAAATCAAATAAAAATGAATTAGAGCAAACAAATAGATAGAGATATAAAGAAGTTCAAAAGAATTTTGACCTGGTAAGTCGTGTCGAATTTGTCGTACATGAAGCGAGTGATGATACTGGTTTTGCCAACGGACTGATCACCCAAGAAGACGAGCTTGTATTTGGCCAAAGGAGAGACAGTCGCCATTTTGAAGATTTTTGCGTCAAATCAGAGATGAGAAAGGTTCAGATCTGAATCTGAATGGGATTGTATATCTGTTCTCTTTCCAAAAGAAATGTTAAAGAGAGAGAGAGAGAGAGAGAGAGAGAGGGGGGGTGGGGGGGGGGAAGCAAAACGAAGGGAAGGTTTGAGTTAAAACGCGTATATATGGGAAGGAGGAGAAACCGCCAACCACGACGATGGACGGCCTAGTCAAAATCCTTGAACCTGTCCATTTTACCCCATTTGCCCCTATGTTCAATTCAAATGACTTTCATATCCTCTTCTTTCAAATG